CAAAGATATACACAGTAGTATTCATTTATGTGAAGAAAATTAAATGTAAATTGTTAAGTAAATTCTACTAAGTCTAATAAAAAAAATACATAATACAGACAGAGAATTGTATAAAAAGTTCCCTACACACGAAATAATACTACGTTCACTATTTGGTGTCATTGTACAGTTTTGAAGATAATACGAAATATCCATATCAGGGCTCGTCAGTTTACTCAATGATAAAAAAAGGGTCACTGAGCTTTGAAACTACATCACCCACGCTGCATTGCGCATGAATGTCATCACAACAGGAAGTACCAGAGGCTGGCCAGTTGTTGGTGTATGAACAGAGCAGTGTGGCATGCAGGAAAAACTGAATGTAGTGTAAATCAGTATGTCTGTCAGAGGAACGGCCACCCCTCCTGCCAGCGCCCATGGACGACGCCCAGGAACTACACAAAGCCAGTAAGAAGAAATAAAACCGACGGACGAGGCTCTGTTCCCTCGGTTACTCGCTGGACCGTTCACCTATGATGGAAAGGGCGATGGAGCAGCTCAACGTACAGCTCAGTCGGCTGACCCGTTCCCTCCGCCGGGCCAGGACCGTAGAACTCCCGGAAGGTAACCGTACAGGCTTCAGCTAAAACAGCAGCGCGAGCGTAAACAACGGTGTTCACGTGCTAATACAGAGAGCGTGAGACGTCACAGCACCCTGCCTCGAGCCGTGACTCACTGATATTATACAGCCGGTGTCTAATGTTCCAGTCTGCTCAGGTAGCTAAAACACCTTATGTATGTTCGGTTTGTGACTCAGCTCCGAACGCCTAGCATACAGCAGCAGTTAGTCAACAAGAATGTTCTTCTTCTAAAAGAATGGCGTCACTGGGAATCTTAAAACCGGACTGTTTATTAGAAAGCGATGGTTATTGATGTTATTCTAAAAACATTTTTGGCAAGTACTTCCAGCTCCCATCCATTAAAAGAAAGAAGCTGTCCAGATACAGATCTGAATGGCAGATGGAGTAGGTCCTGTCAGTGCAGTACAAAAATATTCTGTCGCCCATGGTGGACTGTCTGACCCGAGGTAACATTCAGCAGGGACCACAAATTGATACATACGAAATTAAGTGTTTGACAGTGCAATGCCTAAAGACCTCCCGCCTCAGGCATTGTGTCCCCTTTTTGGTCCCTTTGAGTGTGGCAACCCTTTAGGCATGATGAGTGAGATTGCTTAGGGTTAGAGGGTCAGGGTGAGCCAATCAGAGGCAGACTATGGCGGGATGACTTTGCCATCCTTGGGGAGGGGAGGGGGGGATATTGCATCCAGGGGCCATCTGTCTGTCTGTTTTATTCCTCTTGTGTTTCTCCCTCCACAGACAATGAGACTGCAGTGTACACACTTATGCCAATGGTCATGGCTGACCAGCACAGGTAAGCAGCAGCAGTCATCACAGCAGAGGGACAGTTAAACTGTGCTATTGTCTCCAGAAGCAGTGTGGTTTGTTTATGTGTTCCATCTTGCCTCTAAAAGGTCAGTGTCAGAGCTGCTGCTCAACTCTAAGTTCGATGTGAACTACGCCTTCGGACGGGTGAAGAGAAGTCTGCTGCACATCGCTGCCAAGTAAGATACTGTTCACTCTGATCGCATTTACGAGTAAGCACATACTTGCCTCTGCCAGGTCCCTCTCTCCTGTCCAAAGATGTGCTTTGTGAGGTGTGGCCTTGTGCCTAAGTAGTGAGACACGGGGGTTCATAGCCGAGCTAGACTGGCCGATATTAATTTGATAGCTATATCAGTATATGCAGGGTGATAAGCTACAAGAAATTACAGTTAATAAAATATGTGTATATATATATATATATATATATATATATAATATATAGATATATCATTGTCAGATGTTTTACATTTTCAAATATTAGCATCAGTATCAGAAATCCAGTATGGGCTCTGTGTTGGGCTTTAATGGTACAGACACACTGGATCCATTGGCTCATGTCAAGTCAATGGATCCTATTACTTTTGCAAGATGGTACATGATGAATACTCTACAGCGAGTTAACTGGCCGGCTGCCATATCTTAATTTGCATAAACACAATTTGACTTCCACTTTATGCAAATGACGTCCAGCAAATAGCAACAGTGTCATGGAAGTCAGAACAAACTCTAAAACTGGGCAGTGCTGATCGAATATGGATCAAGAAGGAAGGAACAGCACGTTATAGACCTCTAACTCCTTTACACCTGGTTATATGCACTTTATGAATGTTTTCTCATGCACTTTGACTTTAAAGCACTTTATTGTTAAATAGTTGTTGTAATATGCTCATGCAAAATACAGGTTTTATTTCAAAAAGCAAAAAGTAAAGTAGTAAAGCGCCGCCTGGGCCAAGTGTGACATTGACACATGGTGTGAGTGTGCTCCTTGCACAGAAGGAAACTGGTTTTGTGGCGATGCGTTCTGTGTGATTGCATGCTAACTCATAGGTGGACGCAGAGGGTGGGGGCCTTATTTGTGATGGTCACATGTGGATTTGGTGTGTTAAAGCAAAGGCATGAAAACATCTTTCCACAACACTTTGATAGGTAGATACTGTGTTAAGTGTGACATCAGTACAGCAGGTGAAACAGAACACCTGATCTCTGCAGCCACAGCATCCACAGTGACAGTGATCATGGCAGATACAGACCCCTATCCTGCTCATCACATCCAAGGTATAGCCTTCATACATGAAGCTTTATATTGAAAAATGTATAACATACACACTCAGTTGATTATATTACCCAGATTTATATTCCATGGTCTGCAGTAAAGCTCATCTCAATAACTGAAGGGGCAGTTCATCCAGAATAAGACAAACATAGCATTAATTATTGGGCTAGTCCCCTGAGTCTCCATTGAGGTCTCTGGATTATCCAAAGTAACAGGGAAGATGTCGCTGTTGAACTCAATACATGTCATTTTTCAGTGCTAGACAACACTAGAGGGAAGAGAGGAAGTAAATGTGTGCTTAACATGTCTACCTTCTGCTGTTAATGAAATGCTTACATACTTTGTTGGAAAGCCATGCTGACAACACTGATCTTTTCCATATTGAGCATAGGTGGTTGTGTGTTGTCTGCTGCTTTAACTCTGAGTTGCTGCTCTTGTGTTTCTCTGTGCAGCTGTGGCTCAGTGGAGTGTCTGGTTCTGCTGCTGAAGAGAGGTGCCAACCCAAACTACCAGGACATCTCCGGCTGTACCCCTCTGCACCTCGCTGCTAGGAACGGGTACGGGCCTTACATTGCAGTTAATGTCTGTTTACGTGCGAGTGTGTTCAGTTTTAACTCAAGGTCTCGTGACTCCAGTGAGCACACTTTTACTGCCAACCAATCAGCTTAACTTAAAGGAACCCTGTGAACAAACAAATGTTTATCAGTGTTGTATTTCCTTCTTCATGAATCCTTTTGCAACTATTATAAATACTGTGTTGTTTATGTCTGTGCTCTTCAGCTGCTATGTCAAAATACAGGCAATGAAAAGCCATGATTCATTTTATTTATGGATTATCAGACACAGGAAAAGAAAAAATAAATAAAATAACGTTGCACAAATTTATTTTATCAATCCTACCTTGTTCTTCTATCTCATATTTAAAGACTTGATGTGTAATGGAAGGCTCCAGTGGCACTAGTTTAAAAAAAACGAACATGAACGCACACTGGCCCTGGTATTATAGTTCTACTGAATATGGTCCATTGTTATCTGAGGACACTATCCACTGATAATATTGTACATATGATGCAGCTTCTGTTGTTCTACTCTGAGCTGTACTGGCAGCACTCCTACCTTTCTGAATTCACTACCAATGTGTGTCTTAGGGGATGCATTTAATAAATACCAAATAGTATTATCTTGCAACACCTGCAGTTTGTTCCTAAGTTTACCTGTCAAACCACTGTAGCAAGCAGAACATGCATAATCCAAATGACACTGTATAAAAAAAGATATTGTTAAAACATGACGCTGCAGTAGGTAACCTATCAGAGCCAAGAAAGATAGTCGACACTAGTGTAGTGTGCAGCGCATTGAGTGGTCGAAAGGCTAGAAAGGCAACCGCCATATAAAGAAAGTGGCACAGGATACATTTAATTCTGTTAGAAGCCTGCTAGTCGGCGTTTAGGTCAAATTGTACGTGCCAGCTTTTTTGGTCGGGTATTAATCGTGTAGATTATTAATGGGTAACAGGTGTAATGGTTCAGATCCAGTAAACATGCAAGCAGAACTGGGGCGCCAGGCTGACAAAACACAACATCATACTTTTTTAAGCGCCATCCGCACAAAATTCACTTCAAATTCAATTATTCAATTTTTTATTTGTATAGCGCCAAGTCATAACAGAAAGTTTCATCTCCAGGAAAACCACTTTTTTCAATAGCAAAAAGCAAGGTTCCTACGACGAACTCTTATACACATTTTACACAGAGAGCCAACAGTAAACACACATGAAAAGCAACGGCACCTTGGTGAACGGGGGCAAGGAAAAACTGCCTTTTAGCACGGCAAAACCTCGGAACAGAAACGCCTTCGGCTCTAGGTGGGTTTGGTGCATCTGCCTTTGACCAGTTTGGGGAGAAAAAGAGAGAGAGAGAGAGAGAGACGCAACGAAGAGAGAGAGAGAGAGAGCAGAGAAAAGAGAGACAGAGAGAAGACAAAGAGAACGACACAACAGATTTAACAGCAACAAACAAAGAAGCAAACAACTACATTAACAAAGTTGGACCTGAATTCGATGACGATCATCGAAAAGACGGTGTTGAACGCAACGGCGACCAGCAAAGCAAACGAACAGGGGGACAAGGCGAGCAGCGACAACAGCAACCGCAGCAAGAACAATAGTTTAACACAACTTATAATATAACAATAATACCAGTGAATTATTAAGCAATGGCCAGTCCTAGCGCGCACGCCATGGCAGGCAGGCTTCCACCAGATCTCATGAGAAACGGCCTGGCAGGATGATACAAGCAACCCATGGCAGGAGGCTCCACCAGGATCCATGACAACCTGCAGGACGATAAAGCACAAGAACTCCGGGGAAGAAGTGAAGTTAGTAACATGAGAAGTGAAGTTAGTAACATGACAAGACAGGACAACATATCCATTCCTGTATTTCTGCAGCTTGGTCCTACTGTCACCTTACACCTGGGACAGAAACATGATGTTGTGGCCTGAGATATGACTATGAATGTAAACGTGGAATGAAAGTGAATGTGTGTGTGGGTGTGAGATAACACTGATACTAAACACTTTCCTCCACTGTTTCCTCAGACAGAAAAAGTGCATGGGCAAACTGTTGGAATACAATGCTGATGTCAACATCTGCAACAATGAGGGGCTGACCGCTGTGAGTGGACTGTAATCCTCTGCTTGTGTTGAATATCTTGGAATCATTGGAATCAAATATTGTCCTGTCATCTGTGTGACTGGTGGTTACTCAGCTCAACATAGTGACCCTGTTCCTGTGAACCTGCCACAGATCCACTGGTTGGCAGTGAACGGGCGGACGGAGCTCCTCCACGATCTGGTCCAGCATGTTACCAACGTGGATGTGGAGGATGCCATGGGGCAGACAGCTCTACATGTAGCCTGTCAGAACGGACACAAAACTGTGAGCCAATCCCAGAATATCTCTTTAATTGAAATACTGTATGAATTTTTGGAGTTGGAGCATGGGGGTCAAAGTTTGGCAATAGCAGCATGGCTCTTAGTGTCTGCTTGTTGGGCTTTTAGGCACTATGGACTGTAATTTTAGAGTAGTACAAGAAAATATCAGGTTATCATGATATACTGTTTGATATATATCGTATAGATCCATTAGCATCATTTTTTGTTTAAACCCCAACCACTGGATAGCAGTGTTGTAAACGTAAACTGAGGACCGTGACTGTGACTGTGACAGGGACTGGGAAATTAGACTTTTTACAAAATTGCAGTATATCCTGATTCCTTGATTCCTTTAATATATTGAATTATAATACCTGTATTGCGATACATATTGTGTGCAATACATCGTCTTGCTGAAAATATTGATTCCTTGATTACTTGTATATATTGAATCCTAATATAGTATGTATCATATCAGCAGATCCTTCCTAATACACAGCCCTACTTTAGGCAAATATTAAGTAAATTGTTGAGTCTCATTCCCAGGGCGTCAAATACAGATGCTTTGGAACCCTGGGAATGAAATGAAATTTTTTCACAAATGATCTGTCTGTTCTACTGTCAGGAAATAGAGAAAGTTTCAGTAAATATGACAAAAAGTTATTTTTTATTAACGTTACCTACTGCAGCTTTAAAGACAGCAGTGTGTTGTTAACTAAAGTGAGGGCTGTGATGTTAGGTGTTACAGGGTGGGTGTTGGGTGTCATATAGTGAACCGTAAGCCCTGTATGGAGATACGCATTGTATCGGCAGATACACAGCCGGACACAGTATATTCCCAGTATGTGATATGAGTGTGTGTGTGTTATGTCTGCTCAGACGGTGTCGTGTCTTCTGGACAGTGGAGCTGACATCAACCGACCAAACGTCTCTGGAGCCACGCCTCTTTACTTTGCCTGCAGGTGATGTCATCAGTGATGTCATTGTAATGTAATCACAGTAATCAACCCTACACTTCATCTGTTCAGGGCTGGAGATGCACTGATGCATGTACATTTCTAAAACGGTCAGACTCTCCTTTAATTAAGAAAGTGGTTTAACTAACAGGATTTTCTCAGCTGTTAATTTACACATCAGAATCCTAAAATAACTTGGAATATTAGGGAATATTGTGGGTCAAATTTGTATGTCTCTTTCAGCCAGACATCAGATAGCTAAGCATTTAAAAAAAATAAAAAATAGTCCACACACTCCAAGAACCATTCAGAACGAGTCCACGACCCAGAAGAAGAGCCCCCACTTGAGAACACATGTTCTAAACCACAAATAAATACGGCCACACCTCTGCACAAGTCTGCAGGAATGTGTGAATGCATTCAATCTGTGGTCTGTGTAGCTCAGCCACGCCCCCGGTCAGACAGACAGACAGACAGACAGACCTGCAGCTCTTCATACAGACAGAGAGCAGAGGAGAGAGACGGAGACAGGGATGTGACCCACTACGAGTCCCAATCTGCGCAGCATAAAAATGTTGATTTAGAATTTCTTTGTTAACCTTATGAAGCTATTTGTTATTTGTTACAGTCCTAGATTGTAATATTCTAACATGCCCACAGATAGCTTTGCATATCCAAGTATTGACAGTCCTTGATGTTGTATTGAAACTTGTGTTATTCTGTAGCCATGGCCAAAGAGACACAGCACAGATCCTGCTGTCTCGAGGTGCCAAATACCTTGCTGACAAGAATGGAATCACTCCTATGGATCTCTGTGTACAGGTGAGGTTTTAACTTTTCATCCTCTTTATTTCCTCTTAGTGTTGTTCAGCTGATGTTGAGCTCTTGTGGTTACTGTCCCTCGTGTGTGTGTGTTTGTGTGTGTTCAGGGTGGATATGGGGAAACATGTGAAATCCTCATCCAGCATCACAGCAGACTGTTCCAGACCCTCATCCAGATGACCCAGAATGATGATCTTAAAGAGAACATGGTATGACTTGTTGTTTTACATTCATTGGTAAGCCCTGTGTATATACACTTCTGTTGATGTGTGT